TAGTATAGATAGATATAGATATAGATAGATGAATTCATACTTTTTTTATTTATATATTTTATAGTATAATATTTGAGTATAAAAATATGTACATGACTGCAAGTAATAATAAGCCACAACCACTTCTTAACTAGTTTCTTACAGTTATATTTTATTTTATTTCTTTGTCAATGCATATGAACCAAATAATATTATTTCTATTGGTAAATTGAAAGTCCATGACTGCAAGTAATAAGCCAAAAAACCACTGCTAGTATAAACTTATTATCACTTTGGCCAAATTTCAACTACTCCAACCACTTTCTTTTGACCCACTTTGATCAATTTTCTAATAATACAACAAGAAATTACTCATGACATTTAAAGATAAGTATCAACCAAAACATCTTGTTTGAAAAAACTCATTGAATATTTGTATCTACCTTATACTTTTGCATAAAGGTAAGATACAAATTATCTATAATTTCATTAAATATTTGTATCTACCTTATACTTTTGCATAAAGGTAAGATACAAATTATCTATAATTTATTAACAGATAGAACCATGCACTGAAAGCAAGAAACATGATGAGAGATTACCATTTCTTAAACAATGTCACATTGATTCATTTCATCAACATACAAATTACAAGCAACAAACAAACATATATCATAAAAAAAAAAAAAAAAAACATTGCAACATTATTAATATAACCTTAATCAAGAACAAACGAAACCTCGTGGCACTTTCTTCCCGCATGAATTAACCGCCAGGCTCAAGGCAATCGGGACCTTATAAACTTTCGCAATACCGAGCACGTTAGCCTTAATCACTGTACAAAGGCACAATGTGGCTTCAAAATCGGCTAAGCCCCTTCACAAGCTCACAACATTCGTTTGTGTATAGTGTAGTTTGTCTTTGTAAATTGTTTCTTTATGTGGATTAATTAGTGACATATTTCATGGGATTGCTTAAAAATATGAAACAGTTGCCTTTGTATGCTCAAATTCTTGTATGGTAATTCTATCATTTAACCAGCATATCAAAAAGTAGTAAATCTGCTTAAAAACATATTCACAACACATTCAAAAAGTAGGTAAACCAAGAAAATTTGAACGGATTTGTCTGCCTAATGTTCATGGATGAAAAAAAATTTATATATTTTTTTCAGCTGTTCAAGATATATTTAAAGTTATAAAAATTACTGAAATCTATATTTAGTTGATAATTAGTCACATCACATCTACACATTACGATCTAAAATAAGTATGAAACCCAGTAAAAGCTGGTCCACTGTAACACTGGACACACTTATATTTACACAAAGGAAAGTGAAATGTAATTCCTAAGAACAAAAGAAATGGTAAGAAATGTATCATCAAACAAAACCTATTGAAAAATATGTGAACGGTGTATTTGTTGTTTGGTCACACACACACATATGATAGATGCGTGTTGATCTAAAAAAAACAGGTGAGAGCACGAGTCAAATATTTCTAGAATAGGATCATTTAGGCGTGAACTAATCAAGCCCGATCTCCAACTAAAAAATTTTGAAAAATTGATCAAACATCATCACATGGAAATAGAGTTAAATGTGTGACAAGATATTGCTAAAATCAAACCATCAACACTAATGTCAGGTTTTCCTTTACCTTTTTCTCTCTTTTTGACAATTGAGACAGGTGACTTGCATGCTATTTAGTATTTTCAAAACTATGGGTTCTCTCTTTTTGACAATTGAGACGGGTGACTTGCATGCTATTTAGTATTTTCAAAACTATGGGGTGAGTTGTTTGTAGATATTTCTTTATACATTGTACTAGTATATTTAAAAA